AATGATTTGCAAGCGTTGCTCGTTAGTAAGTCTATTCATGATGAAATTTCAAAGCATACTGAGCATCTTTCTCTTTGACACCATGTCTGAAATCCCACGTGATCTGTCAAATACTAATGCATGAAAATCCTAACCTCAAAAAAATCACCCGTTATATTTGATAGGTCGCTGGTGTTCAAAAAGTGGCAAACTAAATAATTTGGTATTATTACTAGGTGTCTCCTGAAGAGCAACAGAGTTTTTCGATCGAAAAATATTGATTTTCAAGAATTCTATACCATTTACAAATACATGGAAAGCTTTGAGCGCTTTGAGCACTTTGAGCGGCCTCTAAATATATTTTGATTTCAAAATAAAAAAAGTAGAGGTATATTTTCTGCGATATGGAACCATACTAGGGGTGAGGGCATTAAAATTCCGACTTATTTATTTTTTTGATTACCCTAATGCTCATGCATATATCGCAATCAATCGTTGCCACTGTTCATATAATAAGTATGCATGTATTTGCATATGTAGGTATGTTGTTATTACAAATTGGTTATTTTTGTTTACCAGCAGGTTTGGGTGGGCAGTGAAGCTTCATTGCTTTGGTGATTGATCAAACAAGGCGCGTGATTTGTGACATTTGCTTTTTTTTAAATAAAAATTTTTGAAAAATTGGTATGTAAATACATACATAAGTATCTGTATATAGTACATATGCATGCAAGAGGTTGCTTGTACAACGATTTATCATAATTTATCAAAATCTTGCGGTGAAGTGTAGACAAGCATGCATACAATTTAGTTGACTAACGGTGACGAACTGGAACTTAAGTATTTTAGATAAAAAACAAATACGTAGGGATGACGTATTTTTGAATTAAATTTGGTCTTACAGTCTTCACATACGAGCACTTGTTGGATTGAAACTAATTTTTCTTTTATTTTATTCATTTCTTTCACAACAGCGGATCGTTGAGCAGGCAAGATGAAGTTCGCCGAGCATCTGTCGGCGCATATAACGCCGGAATGGCGCAAACAATATATCAACTATGAGGTATTTGATTTCACCAAATAAGCAAGTATAATACTTTTTTAACTTCCACACATTTTTTTTTCCTCTATTACAGGAAATGAAAGCCATGCTTTACATGGCCGTCGAAGAAGCGCCCGCTGTCGATAGCGTTGAAGATGAAGTACTTGAAAGACACTTTGCTAATTTCGATGAAAACTTCTTTCACTACTGCGATAAGGAATTGAAGAAAATCAATACATTCTATTCGGAAAAGTTAGCTGAGGCGACACGTAAATTCGCTACACTCAATGCCGAGCTGAAGACATGTATCGATGAGTCCGAACGTTCGGCGAAAAAATCGAAATCACTGAAGAAGCCAGGTTTGCCGCATCGTAAAGCTGCAGAATTGAAGCTGGCTTTTAGTGAATTTTACTTAAGCTTGATTCTACTACAAAACTATCAGAATTTAAATCATACAGGTTTTCGCAAGATTCTCAAGAAACACGATAAGGTAAAACTAGTGTTGGCAACCAACTGTACTATGGTCTGGCGACTACTATTTGCTGGCCAAAAGTTGACAAGTAACCAAATTGATTTGAAACATGGTGTTTGGGGGTTTTTGTTGTCGTTGATTTCGAATCTGATGTCAGATTTTTAAAATTCAAAATGGCGGATCCAATATGGCGACCAAATTTTATAATTTTCTCCTTTTCACCATAAGCTCATATGAATGCGGGGTTTTCGAGGTCGCTGATTTCGAATCTGATGACATATTTGAAATTCAAAATGGCCGATCCAATATGGCGACAAAATTTTCTATTTTTCTCCTTTTCACCAAAAACTTTTATGTACGGAGGTTTTCGAGGTAGCGATATCAGATTTTTTGCTCTTTCCTTGCAGTAGGTGTTATATTCTTCAGGGAGCACTCCTTTAATAACACTTTGCAGCAAAAAGCTTAAATCGGCGTTTTTTTGGAATCTTAGCTAACTACTTCTTTTCACATATCGAAAAGTACGGCAAAACACACGTAGAAGTTTTCTAAGAAAAAAGCCCATTATTCAAAAAAATGCAAAAAGTGCAACATGATTCAAAGCTTATAAACTCTTAATGAAACATTTTCATTGCCAAGCGTGAAGACCGCAAAATGCAGCCAATTTTTTATAGCTCTATTTAAAGTGGGATATTGTTACCCAAATTAGAGTCCATTCTGAAAATGAATTTTATTTTATTTAGCAAGCTATATTCTAGCTTTCTTTTTTTGGTTTATCAAAAAAATATTACCTCCATTATAATTTTCCATTTTATTTTTTGAAACATCTGTCACTCGAAGATTTATTTCAATTCGAACTAAAAGAATGCTGACTACGATAAATTATTATTTTTTACTTTTTGTGAAAATGTAAACTTTAACAGCTGGTATCTCATTGGAAAAGCTCTTTAAGAAAATAATGAGTATGTAATTTTTTTACTCTGGAGAATTGATTAGTGAAGGGACGAAAATAGATCGATTTATCGATACATTAAAAAATGACTTTTGGCCAGCAAATAGTAGATGTCAGATCATAGTGCACTGCAAAGTAAAAACGAATCTGCATGCTAAGTATGTATGAATAAATATGTAAATTACTTTTCTTACAGCTACTGCGCGTCGACACCGGTGCCAAGTGGCGTCAAGAATATGTTGAAGCTTCACACTTTTTCACCAATAAAGATATCGATAATATCATCAATGAAACCGAAACCACCGTGACGACGGAGTTAGAGGCTGGCGATCGCACACGCGCCATGAAACGCTTGCGTGTACCGCCACTTGGTGAACAACAGAGTCCGTGGACTACGTTTAAAGTGGGTCTCTTTTCGGGCAGCTTCATTGTGCTTGCTGTGGTGGTGGTGTTGTCGGGTGAGAAGAGATTTTTTAAATAATGATAAGGGATGCTTTCCAGCAATTGAATAATTTTTTATACAACATAGGTATAAGGCCTTCAAGTTTAGTTTAAATATCTCAAGGAATTTATCAAAAAACGAGAGTACTTTTGGCAACATTTCTTAAAACTCTTTTGCGAATTGTTTATGATATTAAAACTTCGACTAACCTTTTCAGGAAAGTCGGGTATACGCTACCGATATGACTCAGATTTTATTTCAGCAGTATTCGCCCAACTTTGGTTTGGGTTAGTTTAGATGCAGTGTAATTCGGGTTTTTACTTGACGAGTTGCTCGTTCACGACTGTTACGATTCGAGCCCAGTTTTGAACATCGGCACAGAAAGTGCCTAATTGAATCTTCTTCCCTCACATTGCCTCAGCTTTTGCCGTTTTTTTCATATTTAACTGCGATCATAATGACCTTGACATCTTAGAATGATCTATTGTGAGTTACGAATCATTTGAAACGGCCATAGAGCATTTAAGTTTTATAATATGATCACTATACGGGGTTTAATAGAGGTATTTGTGGTCATCTATTCAAAAGCCTCGTTTACTTCGATATTGCTATGCGCGGAAATCCTGAAAAGAGTTAAGTTGAAATGACCCTGAACAGATGGTTAAATCTTTTAGAAAAGGAGTTTTTAATTGTTCTTCCATTAAATCATAATTTTTTAGAAAAACTGGTCTAAGCTAGCGATGTGTATATATTAGGGGTGCCAATCCCGGCATCCCGGTGTTTTTCAGGTCTCGAAAATCCTGCTTTGCTTGTTTTAATTCAAGGATCCCGAAAAGTTTGAAATATTGAATTGAAAGTAAGAACTTGCTTATGATTTTTGAAGTATCATTTTTGTAAAATGTCGTTTTGGCATTCCTCAAACCGAAAAATATCCCAAATTCTTGAGATAACTATTTTCTGCTAATATTGGCATCCGTAGTATGCGCTATATGTATGTAAAGTGATACTTTTTTAATAAAAATTTTCACTATTTTCGTTTTAAAAAAAAACTATTATTTTCCATGTTTTTCATTGCTCTTTTTAAAATTTCTCTCTTTTAGCGATTTTTCACGACATTACCGGCGAAAATCTCAAAGTTACGTTCCGTTTGTATCGCGGTCCTCTACTCTTAATTGAATTTATTTTTCTCATCGGCGTAAATATATACGGTTGGCGGTCGTCAGGTGTCAATCATGTGCTTATCTTCGAATTAGATCCGCGTAATCATCTCTCCGAACAACATCTTATGGAATTATCTGCCATATTTGGCGTTATATGGACATTAAGTATGTTAAGCTTTTTATACAGCGCCAGCCTAAGCATCCCAGCATTCATAAATCCGCTTACACTCACTATTGTGATGGTGGCATTTTTGGTAAATCCATTTCATGTTTTCCACCATGATGCACGTTTCTGGTTATTGCGCATAACTGTAAGTTGAAGTGTATTTATGTCAGCAAAGCAAGCCTATGACGTAGACAATCTCGTTTTGTTTTATATAGGGTCGCATGGTAGCTGCACCTTTTTTTCATGTTGGTTTCGCCGATTTCTGGCTGGGTGATCAGTTGAATTCACTCACCACGGCATTGCTAGATTTCGAGTATCTGGTGTGTTTCTATTTTACTAATGGCAATTGGTTTGAGGCGCAAGATGCTACTGTGTGCATGGAAAAAGATTTTCTAATACGTCCGATATTTAATTGCTTGCCAGCTTGGTTCCGTTTTGCTCAATGTCTGCGGCGTTATCGTGACACGCGCGAAGCATTTCCTCATTTAGTCAACGCTGGAAAGTATTTCAGTACTTTTGCTGTGGTGATATTTGCAACGTTGAGAAGTTTTAATAATCGTGAGTATGAAATAATGGAATTTGAAAGGGAATAAGTGTTGCTACAAGCTAACACTAGGTGGCGTGCAGTCGAAGCTGAAATTGTGTCGACTTAATATGCAACGCAGATCTTTAAATTATTAAGCAACTTTTCAATTGAGTATTTCTTTGCTAAATATCTTTACAGGTTACTATTCAAGCACATTTGATAACCCCTACACTTGGCTATGGATTATAGCCTCGATTATATCCTCATGTTACGCCTATACTTGGGATATAAAGATGGATTGGGGTCTGTTCGATAAGAACGCGGGCGAGAACACATTTCTGCGCGAGGAAATTGTCTATTCCACAGTAAGTGCAAACATACAGTGAAGGAAAAATAAACAGTTAAATGTACTTTTTAATTTCCAAAGGGATTTTACTACTTCGCCATCATCGAAGATTTGGTGCTGCGTTTCCTTTGGGCCTTATCTTTTTACCTGACTGAAATGAAAATAGTTAGTGGTGATATTATGACATCTATTACTGGCATTTTGGAAGTATTCAGGTACATAAATCTATAGTAAATGTAATTTGTAGACCAATCTAAATAAGACACAACTTTTTAATTGGCCATCAGACGCTTCGTTTGGAACTTCTTCCGCCTGGAGAACGAGCATCTCAATAACTGTGGTAAATTCCGTGCCGTTCGTGATATTTCTATTGCACCAATCGATTCATCCGATCAAACACAAATATTGCGCATGATGGACGAGCCGGAAGGTGTTATTAATCGCTATACTAAAACGAATCGTCCGAAGCCGAAAAAATCGAAAGATCCTGAGAAACGTAGCTTACTGCAGCCACGCGGGTCAATGCAGGACCTCAGTATCGATATTGACGGCACGAAAAAGTTGTAAATTCACACATGTGCACTTTTTTTGTGCGGAAAAGTGTAGCAGCAGAACGAATTAGTTGCTTAAAAGTCTTTCGCTGCTATAGGCAGTGAAATGGATACTTCCATTGTGAAAACTGAAAACTGATAAGCAGATTAAGTGAAAACGTAAAACTTAGCCAATAAGCCATATTCATACTTGTTTGCCAGCAATTTTGTACACAAAACGTTTAGTTCAATTATTCTCTTGGGCATTAATTTAAGTACTTAAAGTAATAGTTAATTCTCGGTTTTTTTCTTTATTTTGTACCGCTGCTATTACATACATACATACATATGTACCTATCAGGCCAGCTAAATGTGAAGTGCAGTGAAATTCCCTTTTATTTTGAGCGTTCATTTTGTAAACATTCTACAATATTAGTGTAAACATATTCGGCAGTATTACTTATGTACGTAACATATATGTAATACTCCTATATTGGCAGTAAGAGCTAGTACCGTCCGAAAACACTACAGTACAGATATATCAATAAACACGTACGAAAGAAAAGGAACACATACGTTTATAAATAAACATGTACACAACACATATATAAAAAACGGCACTCAAGTACACAATACATTGACAAAAACGGTACTAGACTGTCTCGCTTTGATTTCGGAATGCTTACACATTGAGAAGTTAGCTTACTGCCAATATAGAAGTATTACATATATGGTACGTAATTACAAATAATTTTTCGTACTTACATATTTTGTAAAGTGTAGTTTTTTCTAGTACTAACAAATTCAAGAATAATGTGGTATGCATAATTAAAAAGACAAAATACTAAAACTATTTAGACTTGATATACACATATGCATATACATAGTACATGCTATTGTATGTATGAACTGAGACAACCGATTAGTTCTTGCTAACCCTAAACATTCCTCTAATTGGATTCCCTTCAAATGGTAAATATTTAGAAAAGTTTTATAAACGAAACAGCGAAAATCAAATTTGTGAAAACCCTTTGTTATCGTTTTTCTACGTAGAAAGCCTTAGGCGAATTTTCTGGCATAACTAAAATATTAGAAACTATATTCGCTCATTTTATTGATGAGCGATTTTAAAAATATTGTAAAACCCGAAGTAATATTGATCCTCCTTTGATTGTAAGCGTATAATATTTAGTTGAACGAATTATTCTAATATTAACACTTATAATACTAATAATAACTAACACATATACATACAATAAAATCGAAATTTATGAAATGAATTAAATTGTCTTTGTCTTCATGCACATGCAAATACATGAAATTTAACCCAACTGCCAGTTATACCCGTATTTGTAATGAAAACAGTTAACACCGTCGACTTTTAGGTGTTGCCACTTGTACTGCCAATACCCTTTGAGAATAAGGGGCATCCTGGTGGTGCGACTTGGCAACTCTTTTACGGCTGATTAGAGCCCCTCCTAAATAGAAACCAACCTTGAACAACATTATCCCCGAAAATCCCAGTTGGAATTCCCTACTACTTTCTTCTTTAAGGGCGAGGACCAGCTTGCCACCCCTATTGCGAATGTCGACTGGCAGTAGATAAACGACTATTAAGCGATTATCGATTAGCGATGCTATTGCGAGTGTCGCTTAGTCGCTCAATTAGCGACTGTGAATACTTTTTAATCGCTCATTCTTCTATTGCTGTTTTTTAGTCGTTGGAGTTTGCGTTTATAAAATTTACATAAGAAAGTGGTACTATAATGGATAAAAAGTAAGTCAATTGAACTGGAAGTTGTAAAAAATTGTGAAATATTCATATGCATGTATGTGTCTGAATTACAGATCAAAAATTATAAGCAACAAAAGGCAACTTGCGCGGTTGTTCGTACTGATGCAGGAGAGTGAAGACATAGGCAAAGGAATTTCCGGAACGAGTAGGGTAGGAAGCTGCGCTTCTATTGGAAAAGATGCATATACAATATTTCTTGTGCATATAACTCCGGCTACGCCATCCACAGTGTTTTTGCGCAGAACCAACATCAAAAGTTTATACAAAAAACTGCATAATTTATTAATTGACTAGTGCTCGGAAATTTGAAATCTTTATTTTAAATTAAAGTTGAATTCTTTCAATACACTTGTTATGTTATGTTAAAATTTTTAAAATCGGGTCACGCGTTTGGACACAAAAACCCAACATCATTGTACAAAAAACTTAACCGTACCGTATTTCTTAAACTTCCATAAAGTTTATTAATGAGGAAAACAGCTTTTCCTGCAAATCATGTAAAGCCTAAAAACTGTGAAGCATCGGGAACGCAACTTCTATTCATAAAACTCACACGTGTACATACACCTTCAAAGTCCAAGGGATCCGACGAATCTCGCAATTCCCTCCTTGCTTTAGCTAACTCTACTAATCTATTAGCTTCCGCATCATCTTCCTCATTACTAAACCATATTTCAACTGTGTCCATTTTTTAAATTTTATAATAAAAGCAATTATTTTAAAAATGATGTAAATAAAACACTCAAGAAACAAATGTAAACAAACAAACAGCTGTTTACAATTCTGTCAACCATTCACAATAGTACAAATTTTTATCGATCAAGTTACACAATAGCAAAATAAAAGATGATCGACTCGATCGACAAATTTCTATTCTACTGTCAGTCGACACTCGCAATAGGGGCCTGCGCGTCGGATATTGAGCGAACTTCATAGCTTGTCTAGCCCTGGTTATATCGGATGTGACAAAATTATGGATACTAATAAAAATGCTTAGAAGAGGTGTCGCGAGCCGTCTGTATTTATCCTGCCCAAGTAGGAATTTACCCTGCTGCTGTAACCAGAGCGAAGATGGGCTATGTCGTGCGTAGGGATGGCAAACAAATTTAATAATCGATTAACTAATCATATGATTATTCACAAACCGAAAAAAAAAATTAATTACAATAATTGAGAAATAATCGATTGATCGAATTTTTTAAAGGCATTGTTTTACAGTGAGTATTCACAAAAACACTTCCATAAAAAAATCTAATTCTTTTGTTAATTAGCCTTTAAAAAAAATAAAACGAGTATTTTTAGCGGCGATAATTATTTATTACTAGCAAATTCGAGGGTAGTTTGGGTCCAGTTCGGGACTGGTTCATGATTTTT